TTTTGTTTGGGTCAATAAAATTCTGAAATATAAATTCTCTTTGTGTACATATGCGAGAAATGTGTGTTTGTGTGAAAAAAATCAACCTGTGTGTGCGTGGTTCATAGCAAAGAGGATACAAGAGAGAATTTGTTTCTTATTGTGGACTGTATTGCTGTAGTCTGAAGCAGTCTCATTGAAGTTTGTCAGTGCTGTCACCTTTTAGCATAAGGTTATGAAGTTCACAAGTGAGAGGGGCGTGGACTTTGATGACAGCTGTGCGTATTCTGTTTGGGGCCGGATTTTATGTGTTTTACACACTTTCTTGTAAGAAAATTGGCTCCATCCCTACACAATAATAAATTTACATCTTTCTTTTCCCAACTTTCTATATATAACTTCTGGAAAAAACATGAGATACAAAATTCATGGAGTTTTATATATATATATATATATATATATATATATATATATATATATACACACACACACACACACACACAATATATCTGTGTATAGAAAAAAGGAAACTCATTTCATCCTCTGGTGAAAGAAAAAGTAAACATCACTTATCATCCTCCACAGATTACTTTCACAATTAACCTTAAGAATATTTAAGAGCATTCTTAAACTTAAAAGTGTTCAAAACCTAACAATACTTTTACTTCTGTTTATAAATACTTGTTGCAAAATAAAATCCTCACGTTTACCTTAAGTCAATCAGAGGACAAAATGAATTGGTTAAGGAAAAGTTTTCATTTTGATTTCATTCATACTGTCTTTTTACAGATGTATGTTTTATATCTGAATTTTTACACACATAACCCATTCACATATAAATGTGAGGGTGAGTCAAAAAGTAATGCAATTTGTTTTATTATATAAGAAATAAAGAACCCAATCAAACACATTATACATCACAAGTTCAAATCCCTACTTCTCAACATAGTCCCACCTCTTTCAATGGTAGTGTTCAATCAACAAAATGAGGGCATGTATCTCATCTTTTGTAAAAATTTTAATGGCTGATAATGGAGCCAATTCCTTGCAGCAGTTTTCACTTTGTTGTTTTTTTAATGAAATGCATACACAGCATACTTTGATGTATTTGATCATTAAAGACTGTAATGGTTCAGGTGATCTATTGTAGGATGTTTCATATTTCATAATATAACTTTCCTTAATATTTGAAGATTTGTGTGTTAAAAAGAAAATGCTGCTTGTTTAAGAGGAGATAAAAAAAAAATGTACAATGATTTTATTTATCCTGATCATATAAGTAACATTTGGTACATTTAGTATTATGTAGATAATGATGAGCCTGAATATCTAACTTAAGAAAGGAGAAAAAAAAAAAAAGTACAAATTGCTGTATTTAAAGATTGGTCCATTCACATTTCATTTCTTTTAATATTAGTCCACATATATTTTTTTTTCATCTTTGATCGGAATAATCAATAGATTAAAATTCCAGTAAGTTTTCCTTGCATTGTTTTGCTTGAGTTTCCACATTTGTAAATCATGATGTCTTGATATTTATACAAGGAAGATTTAAGTTTAAAACATTTACTGCCACACATTTGCACATCTTGTGAGATCTTGCCTCCAATTCAATAATTTTAATTCCAACAATCTAAATAGCTTTTCTCAGTTATTTTTTTTTAAACTGACGCCGACACGAATGTGTCACATGGGACAAGAGAAAGAGATAGAAAAAGAATCACAAACAGAGCCAGTATCATGGATGCATTTTAGTGTCCTTTATTATTTAAATTTTATTTTATTTTTCTTATAAAACCTAAGTTGTAGTAGTAACAAATTCTAATCTCTTTGCCACCATAAAAATAGGCAAATACCATTCTTTGTGTTAAGGTTTCTGGCCTCTACCCCCAAGCCCCAGTGTGAGTAATTATGTATAAAACTCCCAGATATTGAACATGCCCAGAAGTATAGTTGAAAGTACTTCATCCTAAATATTCATTTCAACCACTCTCTGTACTCATTGGACTGAAACATTCTCTCTAGTATATAAACAGGAAAAGTTAAAAAAAAAAAAAAAATACCCCTGTCATTTTAAATGAGACACACTCATTTTGTTAAATTCTGTGTGTAGGAACATTAGGCCTGAAGTTTCACAGATTATTTCTTTATAATTTAATAAAATAAATTTTATTTCCTGAAAAAAAAATATTAGTATGAAATTTCTAATGATAATTTTAATAGAAACGAAGATGCTTTTATAAAGATTCAAATATTATCTATTGAATATGTTAAATTCAAAATTCTTATTAGTTTATTAATTATTATTATTATTCAGTAAATGAGTCGAACAATCCAATGAAAATTTTCTATTACTTTTTTCTTTTCTTTTTGTGAATGGATTTTTATTTTAGCCTTTCTCTGTCCAGGTGCAAGCGTCCAGTCAGTCGCATGTTGGCAACCTCATAGACTTAGGGGAAGAAGGTGGACATCCTAGCACTGGTCAGTCAGACATTCATGCTCAATTAGCTGGCTTGAGTAAGTAGTGAATCATTTTCCTTTGTATTTCTGTTATATACACATACTACTGATCAAAAGTTTGAGACTACATTGATTCCCCCCCCACTCAAAACTTAAAAATTGAATCGAGTTTCATGTCTTTAAAGAAATAATTTTTTTTTTTTTTTTTTTTCTATGTTTGCATGCAACAATTTACATCAAAATGATTTTTTTTTTCTGTGTCAACATTTGTGCCAGTTTACGCATGTCACTGCAGACAATAATGCACTCCATTTTTTGGTATATTTAATTTCCTAGCAAATTGACACACTGAATACCCATCTATAGAAGGAATTCCACTTTTTTTTTTTTTTTTTTTTTTTTTTTTTTGTCAATACTAATCTGTTTAGTTCTTAGCATTTTAACTGTTTTTGAAAATTATTGGGTTGTCCAGAAAGTTCATGCTGATTTTCAGTTGTTCATGTTCCATGTCAAAACACATCAAATTCATCAACAGATATAATATGCTTACATTTCCGATTAGAGCACATTTCAAACAATCTTTTGAGAAAGAAAGTTTAAAATTACTTAATTCGTGTCAATTTTGCATCCCTATGAAAATGGAAGATTATAAAAGGTGCATTTTAGACACTTGATGCTTTTTTTTTTTTTTTTTTACTGTAAAGGCAAAAATGCCTCACAAGCAGCAAAAAAGATATGTGCTGTGTACGGTGAAGGTACTTTAGATGACAGAACCGTACAGAAGTGGTTCACTAAGTTTAGAGTTGGTGATTGTAACCTTATTGGTGAAGAATGCTCAGGAAGACCGCCCAACCACCAAACTACAAATGACAACCAAATGAAGACAACTGATTGAGAATAACCCACATTACACAATGCAGGAATTGGCAGAAATGCTAAATTTATCAAAATTCACCATCCCTGAACACTTACTGAGGCTTGGGTACTCAAATTGCTACAATGTTTGGGTACCACATGATCTGAGCAAAAAGATAACATTTCATCTGACTTGCTGTATAAATGCAATGAAAATGCAATCTTTTTGTAGCAAATTTTGACAGGTGATGAGAAATTGTTTACAACAATATTCAGCAAAAAAGATCCTGGGGTAAGTAACATGAACCAACTTTAGCCACCTCAAAAACAAATCTTCATCCTAAGAAAGTCCTGCTGTGCATCTGGTGGGATTGGTAAGGAATCCTGTACTATGAGCTTCTGCCAAGTAACCAGTCAACTGATTCTGAAAAGTACTGCCTGCAACTGGACAAATTAAATGCAGCAAATCAAGAAAAACTCTCAGAATTGGTGAACAAGGTGTTGTTTTCCATCAGGATAGTGCCAGATCCCACATTTCTTAGGCAACCTGGCAAAAATTGTTGCAGTTTGGCTGGGATGTGTTACTCCACCTGCCATATTCAACAGACATTGCACCTTCATATTTTCATTTATTCAGATCTTTGCAAAATAATCTCAATGGTAAAGCTTTTAATTCTTTGAATGGCATAAAAAAATACCTTTAATGAGTTCTCTGCAAAGAAACCACAAAATTCTGGAAAGATGAAATCTTTAAGTTGAAGGAAAAAATGGAGAAAGCTTTTGCAACAAAATGGTTCATATTTAGTTGAATAAATATTTAAAGGCATAATTTTGTTTTCCCTTAAAAATTGGCATGAAGTTTCTGGACAACCCATAATTTCAATCACACATTAATCTAGGTAGAGTTGAAATATTTGTAAATTTCTGCTCTACAGTTCAAAGGGCACCAGGTTATAACAAAATTTTCAAAGCTTATGCAAATAAATTTATAATGCATGTAGAAAAATTTGTTTGAGTTTTATATAAGGATTTGCATATATGTACAATAGCTGAATTTGTCGGAGTTAGTTCCTCCTTTAGTTCCTTAGCTCTTCACCAGAGCTTTTTTTTTTTTCCTTAGGCCTTGGACCTTATGCCACCTCACATATGTGAGCTCTCACAGATACAGCACTTTCCAAATTTTTGGAACATGCTAAGGACAATACACGTACATATGAACACTCACCACAATATACACACACATCACACAAACTCAATGTAACTGTCCATGTGCTTGTAACTTGTTGTTAATACACATATTTTTTGTATATAATTATTGGTCTTGTTTGTTTTCATTGGACTTAATTAAAGTCCAACATTCTCATGTAGTTGGACCAGCTAGCAGGAAATTTGTTCTTTACATCTTCATCGCCACGGTCCGCTACAAATTTATTTACCCAAATATGCAAAATTAGCCTTTTTTATGAATATGATAAGCAAATTGAAAAGTATTATACTCACAAATTAAATATTTTCTTTTTTTTTCTTTTTGAATCAAAGAAAATGTTAATAAAGTTTAATCACTAATAAATACATTTGACTATTTTTTTTGTCCCCAAAACTCAGAATTTTCCACAAATGTTCAATTTTTTTCTGAAACTGAGTTGTCGAAATCATGAAAAATGAATTTTTGGAACCAATGCCACAGAATCCATTCTGAAGCTAATTTCAGCTCCCTAATAATAGTTCATGTTGCAAGTGGCTTTGGTAATGCAATGTCAGAAAAATCACATTTATTTATCTTTGCTTTGATCAGCTCTAAAATAAAAATAATACCCACAAAATCTTGGGGCTTTAAAAGGAAAACATTAGGAAAATGAATTCCTTTTAATATGTGGAAATAACACTTTGCCTGGTGAAGGTCTTGAGACCAGAAACGTGTGTAGCAAAAATATGGAAAATAAAGTATAATATATATTTTAAAAAATCCACGTTATAAGCAAAAACGATTGCAGTTTCTCTCCACTCTTTAAAAAAAATTAAAATATATATATATGGATGGCTGGAAATGCAACAGAATTATGATTAGTTATTTAACATGCTTGTATTAAAGTTTCTTATTTTGCTTTAATAAAAGTGAAACGTAAGTACTTGAATAATTTTTTCTGTATTAAAGTATGGTATATATTAAAATGTTTTTTTTTTTTTTTTTTTTTGTCTATTTATGTAGGTTTAAATAGTAGCAGTATCAGCAGCACATTGGGGCAAATAAGCAGCACCCCTGCAGTGAATAAATCTTCATCAGGAGTCCAGGATACTGAATTTGATATGTTTGCACAATCCAGACAGTCATTTGACCAAAGTAGGAAGAACATAGGGTAAAGATACTTTCTTTTATTTATATATATATATATATATATATACAATCCACTAGCTAATTGAAACTGCACTTTTAGTGCATCCTAAAGAACCTCTAAAATAATGTTAAGCAGAATGCATGAAATTTTAACACTGTCATTTATTATGCAGAAATATTGAGAGGATTAACAGGTCAGGTTTAAATTAGAAACCAAGAAATGAAAAGTCATGCCTTGCTTATAGCACTAACAATCAACTTCAGTGATTTTAGGAATAGCCAGCTTCTTAAAAAATGGTCAGGTCTCCCTGTTCCTGAATGGACTGTGAAGGCTTCTATCAAGGTCATTGTCAAGAGAAAGAAAACTGTTAAGCATTAGGGAGCCAGTTTTATTCATCCATCAGATCCAGAACACGACTATAACAGGTCGATAAGAATCATTGCTGAGCAAGTCAAGGTGGCAAACTATCAGATGTGATGCACAAGGTCATCAAGTACAAGTTGTATGTCTGCCTTGTTTGCTGGGGCTTGAGAATATGCCAACTAAATCTCTGCAGAGGGGTAAAATGAGGCCACCTGTTTGCCATGGGTGGTGACCTGTAATGCTTAAGGACAGGATCTTGGTTGTTGAGGGCTTCAGGAATCTGATTCCCAACACAACACTTTGGCCCTTACTTGGTTTAGACAGGCAGTTGGAGAGACTCGATCCAATCAATCAGTTGCTCGTGTCCAGCTCTAATTTAAAATAACCAAGATGGAGAGAAGGAAATTTGATCATCAGTCAGATATCTCAAAATATGAAGAAAAAAAACCTGAGAAGGTAGTAGTTGTAGGGTCAATCAGTTTGAAAGGGAAGAACTATGTTGTATCTTAGATACTCCACTAGTTTTACTAGTTCTTGGATAGTAAAACCAAAGGGGAATTAAGGACTCATGACCTTCCTCCAAATATGAGTATACCATTGCTGTAGCTCTCTCCTATAAAGGCAAATGGGTTCAAATTAAATTGGACTTTGTGGTGGGTGGGAAGCAGAAGCAGTAAAGAAATATACCTTTTTTTCTATGGATAAAAACAAACCCACCAAGAGACACCTCACATAGCTATAGATTCTGACAAGGATAGGGGGATCATTTCCAAGATTTATCATCTTGGAATTACCTGATGAAACTCCATTTACAGAATTATCTCTCTTTCTTATCGAAAGGATTATCGAGAATAAAAACTAAAAATGTGAAAAATCTCAAAAATGACACAATTTTGGTTGAGGTTGAGAGGGAAAGACATGCAAAGATATTACTAAAAATGACAGTATTCATAATAAAAAAATAAATAAATAAATAAATAAAAGTGTACCCTTGCAAAAAACTGAATGCCTCACAGGGTGGGGGGAGCACAAAGAGAAATTTCTCTGTACCATTTGAAGAAATGAAAAATGAACTGAAAAAGCAGGGTGTTACAGATGTCAGAAGAGTGAATATAAAAATAAAAAAAATAACTGAATTATCCTCACCAACATCCTGGCATTCAATGTACCAACTATTCACAAAGAGATGAAAATGGAGAATAACGTAGAAAAGATGGAACCCTTCATCTCAAATCATCTCCGTTAAACTACCAGAGGTTTGAACGTGATGAGGACAGATGGTACGGTAAAGCAATATGTGGTTGATGTGGGCAAAAGGACCCAGATCACACCACAAATGAATGCAGAGATATATGCAAATTGTGGAGAAGAACACCCTGCATATGTCAGAGTATGTAAGATTTGGAGAAAAGAGAAAGAAATACTGACAATAAAATATACCAAAAGTATTTCTTTCCCTAAAGCATATAAAATTGTGGAGGGATATATGAAAGAAAAAAGTTATGCTGAAATAACAAAAAGTAATAATCAAGAAAATCGTCAGAAATATAACCTGATAAAAAAAATTTAATTAAATTCAGGCCACAAGTGGCCTGAATTTAATTAATTTTTTTGTACCTGGAAACTAATAATCTCTCAACAAAATACCAGACAGGCTTCTGAAACGAAAGAAGCCCTTTTGATCATCTATTTCTTCTGGAAACAACCATATGAGAAACCTTCATAAAAAAACACTTAACAGCAGTGTTTTTTTGATTTGGAGAAGGCTTATGATACAATCTGGAAGTATGGCATAAAAGGAGACCAACAAGACTTAGGACTAAAAGGTAGAAGGCCTTTTTGGAAGGCAGACATTTTAAGGTGTGTTTGCAAGACACCATGTCATCTCAAAAAGACCAAGATCAAGGTGTCCTATAGGAGAGAATACTTTCTCTTACTCTGTTCAGTATTAAAATCAATAATGGTGTCAAAAACATAAATACAGCAACAGATTGTGCCCTATATGTAGATGACTTTTTGATTTATTATAGATCAAAACATATGCATACTATAGGGCAGTGCTTTTCAGTCAGTGTACCAGGGCTCACTAATGCACACTGAAAAGTATCCAGGTGCACCCCAAGTTAACAGAAGTTTAATTTATGAATTATTTACACATTTAAAAAAATATTTTTAAATACCTAGACACCAAGCACATGGCTTTTGATATTTTAAACTGGATGCTAAATTCCTTAATCTTTAAGGAGTGGATAATCCTTTCTCTTTTGCTTTCCACAAGGGATTAAAGTGTCATTATCACTCTGTCTAAAAAAAAAAAAAAAATTATCTATAAATCCGTTTAAATGAATAGTATACCACTAATCTATGGGAATATGAAACCAAAATGACATATTTTCAAATTTCATGACTAATTTTTCATTATTAAAATTTAATCTGTGACCCAGAGTTTTAGTTATTCTACAAGTGCACCCTGTTGTGAGAAAAGTTGTGAAACACTGCTATAGAGTGACAGCTTCAGCTGTGTCTTAATAAAATTAATAATTGGGCTACAGAAAATGTGTATAAATTTTCCAAAGAAAAAACAAAATGTATGCACTTCTGCCAGCTTTGAAAAATGCATAACAATTCAACATTAAAACTAAACAATAATATAATTCCAGTAGTAGAACAATACAAATATCTAAGCATCATATTTGATAAGAAATTAACATTTATACCCAATATAAAATACTCAAGGTCTAAATGCCAGAAAGCTTTAAAACTACTTAGTTATTACTCACCAAGACTGAGGAGCAAGCAAAGAGTCATTACTCAAGATATATCACTAATTAATTGGATTGCAACTTGATTATGGTTGCTTTATATATGGCGAAGCAAGAAAAAGCTACATAAAAGAACTTGACACCATTCATCATCAAGGATTAAGAATAGCTGTTGGAGCTTTCAGCACATGTCCAGTGTAAAGCATATACATAAAAGCACATGATCCTCCATTAAATCATTTGGTATCTGTATGAAAAATGTCATTGAGAAAACACAAATACAGCACAAATCCACGATCAACTCTAAAACATCTCCATGAATGATAAAACAACCAAATGATGTTTTCAAACTCCTTGAGTTCCAAAAATCAAAAACCAATCCAATCACATTCCATAAAGAATTACTCTCCATCAAAAATGATTACACAGATCATCTGTACAGATGGATCAAAAGATAATGATAAAGTTGGATGTGTGGCTGTCCAATACAAATTAAAATTAATGAAACCACATCCAGACAAAGCTATCGACTTGAGCCTTGACATCATAAATTCAAGTAAACATAAAAAAAAATTATTATATACACTGATTCCATGTTAGTAGTCACAGCACTAAAAAACAAAAAAAAAATGTCAAACCCACTTATTAAACTACTCAAGAGGATCACTAGCTTAGAGATATTCTCTTCTGCTGAATACCAAACTATATTGGTATCACAGAGAATGATAGTAAATTTTGTAGCAAGAAGGGCATCAACTATAAGAAACACATCAGATACCTTAGGTACCAAAATGACATATACAGGCATGAAACAAACAATCAATAAATATATTAGAGAGGAGTATCAGAACCTATGGAACTCCTGCCCAAACAATAAACTGTTTAAAATTATACATTCAAAAGAATGGTATCAGAAATGCCAAACTAGAAGAGAAGAAATGATTATGTCTAGGCTATATATTGGACATACTATCATAAGGCATTTGTATATACTAAAAAATGGAAAGTCCTCTGGTATGTGTGGCATGCCAAGAACTATTCACCATAAAATACATGCTTACAAGCTGTAGTAATTTTAATCTCATCCACTTAAAATACTACCAAGCAAGAAACTTGAAAGAACTTTTTTAAAATACTAATTCATTTTACATATTTCAGTTTCTAAAAGAAATTTAACTGATTTCAAAAATATAATTAAAAAAAATAACTATAACAAACAGTAGTCTTACTGTTTAAAATAACTTTTTTTGGCTGTTTTAGTACAAGACTTTATTTAAAAAACATTAAATTTCAGCATTAAATGACGAGAGAAGAGGCTAATTCATGTTTAACAAGGCATTGGTGAAGAATATAATCTGATCAAAGTTCTTGTTTATAAACATGCTCTCAATAACCTGGAGGAGTTCAGTATGCTCTCTCTGGTTCTTCAATAATGAGAACTTTAATCAGAAATAAAAGATGAACAGGAGGCATGATAGGTGGCTCTGAATTAACTCTATAGATGTACACAGTTCAAATCCATGAGGGCCATATCATACCACCTCCATTTATTTTTGCAGGGCTTTAGAGATAATACCACCACCTGGATCAAGAGTATGGTCCAGGGAAAATCATGTTTTCCAGCAGATTTCTGCTCCCTTAGGAGTTTTTTTTTTTTTTTTTATATATATAGAGGGATTGATTATCATGCATGTCAATCTTATAGAAGAGTAACTTTCATATACTCATTTAGATAGATGAGAAATCAGAACGAAATAAAATCCTCAGTTTGGTGTTAAAAAAAAAAAAAAAAAACTTATTTATCTTGAATGTTCTTTCTTAAAAATTCCTGTTAGAGATATCAGAAAAGAGGGAAAATGTGGAGAAAATATACAGTTCAATTATACCAGCAGTAATGGTGTCTTTTTTTTTTTTTTTTTTTTTTTTTTTATGATAGTCAAATCAGTAAAATAATTTTCCTGGGTGATTGTTCTTAATAGCCTTACATAACTGCTTCATCAAGTTGGCATAGTACTCTACATTGATGGTGTGGCCCCTTTTATCAAGTAGTTGCAGAAAAAAAAGTGTTTAGCAACTCTGTTAGGCCTAAACCCCCTTTTTTCTGCAGTTACTTGATAACACCACAATGCCAATTTTTTTCATTTTCAAGAGAGGTTGCTACTAGTTACTTTTGAAACCACCTTTGAACAGCCAGATGTCAGTTTACCTGGAAATGTAGTTACTAATAAAGAGTTGAAATTAATGCATACACAGCTCTAGCATCACTCCTGCATAGTCAGCCTATGAAATTTTCAGCTCACTCTTGTAATCTCATGAAAAAATTTCAGAGAAAAATTACTCACTCATTCCTTCTCTATTTTTTTCTTCTTTTTGTTTACATGTGAAGTTTTATCAAAAAAATAAATAAATAAACAGTGCATCTAGTCAACTATGGCAATCCACCAAAAATAGTGTTAAAGAGATAAAAATCTGTTGGATTAATAAATAAAAATCCATTACTTTAGAAATTGCTTTGTTTATATTTTGATTACAAAACTGAGCAGTTATGAACTTCTGTGACTTTAAGAAAAAGGATGTACTTAAAAGGTAGTATACAACCTTACCTAATCAACAACACTCTTTGTGGCCAAGTCGGTTAAAAGATTGGATCTACTGATGGTTTTTCCTGCAGGAGGATGCTTTTTTTTTTCCCCCCAGCTATTTAAACTGATAGACAAAAGTAAAAACAGAGCATCTACTTAAATATGGGTATCCACTAAAAACGTTTATATTGATAAAATATCACAGTATGCCAAAATAACTTATCTGAATGCATTTCATCTTTATTCAGAAATGCAGCATACATCAACCAACAAGAGGACCAATTCCGGGGCAGTCTTGGACAAGCAGTATCTATGAAATCTCAAGCCAAAAACGGACAGGTTAGCTTTTTTCTTTTCTTTTCTTTTCTTTTCTCCCCACCCCCACTCTTCTATCAATATTGTCTTTGCCTCTTTGATTCTTGTAACAGTTGATTTTTAACATTTTGTCTTGTATAAAATGCCAAGTATTTGCTTGAATGTTTTTGCTATACTTAACTGCCATTTTACTTTTTCTATCAAAATGCTTAAGTTAAATGTCTTGCCATTTTTGCTTTAAATTTTCTAAATGCTCATTTTGTGCCAAAGCTCCTGTTTTTTCGTTTCGTTATTATTTTTATTTTTTTGTTATAGTCTTTTTTGTTTTTATGTGTGTAAGAAAAGATAATTAGTTGAAGAATAACACTGAAATTTAGAGTTATTTCCCTTGACTAATTTAAAATCATTCAATTCTACACGCACAAAGATGATAGAATGGAATATTATTATTTTCAAAGATATATAGAACATGATAGACAGCAGCCGCCAGATCTTGAAAACAAATTCAGTCTGTACCAGTTGTTGATCTATGAACTGAAATTGAGGCTTGAGAATTTTTGCCAAAGTCTTGATCCAATTAGAGAGATTAGCTAGAAATTACTGAAAATCTTGAAGAAAAAAAAAAAAACAACAAAGAAAAAAAAGTTAATCGGCTTTTGTTAAAACGGTTGTCTATTGGATTAAATTCTTCCTGTGAAGAAACTAGTGATCCATAAATGACCAACGTCCTGCATTTTCTGTGCATTGAGATCGAAGCAAATACTATGCACCTTGGTAGAAAGATTAAAAATAAATTAAAATTTCATTATGCCAATGTCAAATATAATTAATGTGTGTGTATGCATGAATGTATACTTGAGATAAAAACTTTGTTATAAACCCCATATGAATGCTTAACTCTTTGAAACCATTGTACAGGTTGTCCCTAAAGTCTGGACACAAATAAAAATGCGTGAAATTTTCAACATTTTATTGAATTGGAATATTAACAAATAACGTCTTCTACATGATTTCCAAAATTTGTGATGCAAAGGTTGATGCGCTTTGCAAGATTCACGTGAACTCGATACAATAACTCCACATCACCATCAATTTTAGCACATTCACTCTTTATGCGTTCAATCAAGCGTGTTGCATCTGTGATTTTCATTGAGTACGCCTTCTCCTTTAGCATACCTTTAGCATATACAGAAAAAGAAGTCAATTTTTTCTTATTTCAACAAAACCATGTTTAATTTGTGGGAGTAAAAAAAAAAAAAAAAATATAGTTAATGAGATTTTTTTGTGTGTCCAGACTTTAGCAACACACCTTGCATGTGTCATTCTTTATAATGATTGGCTTTATGGCTGACTTTATTTTATTTTTTTTCAATTGGCGTTAATTTATCGGCCCATTTTGCTTTCATGGCTGAAATTACCTGTACATATTTTTATGTTCATCTTGAATTTTGCTATATTATTATTATTTTTTTGTTTGTTTATTTTTCTGTGTGTCCACTGGAAGATTAATTTTCCTGGATAAGAAATTAGGAGTTGGCTAAAAATCAGTCACCAAAAAGGTGTTTGCAAAACGTTCATTGAAGCAAAAATGTTCTTTTGTTCTTTATTAATTTTGTGTTTATGCAAATTACTCTTACTGTTTCCATCAGTCTGAGAATTTTATCAAATTTATTTCAATAATGACATCAATGTATATGCAGGATTAAACCAGATTTAGTCCAAAATCTTACCAAACTAGAAACTTAATTCACACACCAATCTATGAAATAAGATTTTAAACTAATAAAAAGATCAATTGACTTATTTTTCTAAAAAATGCAAAGAAATCATTTTATTTATTGATCAATATTTAAAGGAGGTGAATTAAGTTCTGAAAACCACTTTTACTTACAGATGAATGAGAATTTTTTTTTTTTTAATTCCAATTCTAATAAATTTTTCCCTACTATTATTATTAGAGGTTGATGCAAAAGTTTCCACCATCAGTGTTAAGGAAACCTAGAAATGTCCCAGTGTTAAGGAAACCTAGAAATGTCTTTGAAGTTTATTCATTACTTTATTGTTTGTGCAATCAATTTGTAATAAATTATTTACAAGCATTAAAAAGAAATCACAAACATTGGAAAACGGATTTCACATAAACTTGGTTTTCATTGGTCAATGTTTAAACACACCTCTTTTCTCTTTTTACACAACACAGAAAAATGACATTTCTGCACAGAATAGTCAGTGGCATTGAAAACTGAAGAAAATCCTGGATTGGTCCAGGACAGCCTTCAACATTCTCTATCTAAACAGGATCTACCAAAGAAGGAAAATTTCAGTTTGGGATTCAAAAGGATTTTTTTTTTTTCAAGATAAATTTCTAAAATCTGGACAAAGTGTTGCTATACATCTGTCTCTATAATTAGTAACCTTTTGGCTCATTTGAATGACTCATTGGAACAGAATAGGCTTTACCTGGCCTTACCTTGCAAAAAGGTTAGATTAAACAATCATGTGACTTGAATGTGGATTTAAGTATCAGTGGTATATTCTTCAGATATGCAAACTTTAGACTGATTTGTTTTTGCTCTTTCATCAAGAAACAAGACCTCAAAAATTTCTTTGAAGAATTCTTCAAATCAAAGGTAGAATTGTTCTTTTATGATAGAACATGCAAATTTAGCTGAAAGGTTATATTGTAAAAAGCCAGGGAAAATATTTTTATAACAGAATAATGATGCTATGAATTCATATGAATAAAAAAAAAAAATCCCCAAAATCTTAAACTTTTGCATCAATGTTTTTGTTACTTTCTTTTTGTCAATAATTCAGCTTTCCTAAACTGATTCTGAAAGAGGAAGATATTACCACCAACAAATAGGAAATGAAAAGCAGCATAATTCTGTATTAAGTTCCAAGCTGATTATAGTCATTAATAATAACAAAAATAAATGAAAACTGCATTTAAAAAAGGAAACATCTTATCCATTATATAAGCCATACCAGTTCATAATTATTTATGCTTTTGGTTGCAATGGGTGAGCTATGAAAGAAAGGAATATTATCCCATTTGCATTTTCTTCCATTATGGGTATTATTATATCCATGATATAGCACCTTATTTCACAGAATAGAATGGCTGAAAGAAAAGGAATAACAAGCATGCTTTGTTCTCAAAGAGTTTTATGCTGCTAAGTCATACCCAAAATTTATATATATATATATATACACACACACACATTTGTCTCCCACAGAGAAACTATAACATGTATGCAACAACAAGCAGTGTGAAAGGAAACAAAGAGTGTCTTGTAATAACTCTCAATGAGAATTGGAGTTGATGGAGATTCTTCTGTGTTTCTAAAAAAAAGCCATATTTAGGATTGCAGATTCAAGCAAGCCAGATTTATTTCCTATGTCACTAGTGAGAACATATTCCTCTCAAATAGGAAATGGTGAGCTATTTGGTTTTTCCCAACATGAAGACTGTGAGCCAGAGATAGTTTCTATATCTAGTGAAGATATATTTCCATAGGAAAATGATGCCAGGGGCTTGTAAGTTGCAGCATGTGGCAGCTGATCAGGGAAGGGAAATTTAGCCCAAGTTAAAAGTGACAGTCATGTGATCGCTATGACTTCATCTTGACCAAAGAGAGATAATTACATTTTGTGGTAAAAGCAAAAATGATTTGCAATTTTGTCTTTTATTTTTAACTAAAATTTTTCCTTTTGTAAAATTCACAATATTTTCATAGAAAAATGTTCTCAATGAGTTCATTTATTTTATATATATATATATATATATATATATATATATATATATATATATATATATATGCGCACACACACACACACTGTGATGGATAAATTGTCATCTAAATTATGCAAAAATGAAAATAACGCTGACATCTCATTTTAACAAATATATTTACCAAAATTACACAAAAATATCTTGAAATATTAAAGAGTAAATTTATTCGATAAAATCATCATTGTCTCCAACCATGTCCTACAGACGATTTTGGAATCTCCTGCAAATTTTCTGGACATCATCTTGTTTAAGTTGGTGAATGCTACTATAATCCTGGCCTTCAGTTCATTTTGGTGTTACAAGGAGTTGGTCTCTTATTCAAGTGCACCCCACACCAGCAGCCCTCCTCCTCGAGGCACTTGATGTAGGCCCTCGTCTTGAGTCTGAGGCTCTCACCAACAAATTTGGAAATTCTTTTCTTATCAGAACTATCAGTGAGTTTTCAGAGCTGCTGTAACTTCGTATTCACCATTAGACTCATCCAACTCTTTCTGAATCCCCTGCATTGTCCTCCTCATATTGACACCCACTGAAATGTTCGTTTTGGAGCTTCTGGTGTGATTATCAAGCAGTAGAGCATGCCATTTCTAAATTTCTGGCAGAGTGAAATTTTTGTCATGGTGCTCTTTTTCTCACAGATGGTGCCCAACTGACCCAACTATATTGTACAAGCAGCAAAATTGAAAACAATGTGTATACACAAAATTAAAATTATAAAATGGTGACAATTTACACATCGCACCCTGTATATATAAAAATATCAATTGTAAGTTATTTTGGTTGAATACATAACATTTTGCCTTTTAGTCTGCTTTGCCCATAACAAAAAGATGATCTTATTTGATCAATTCAAAATTAATGATTGGTATTTTTCTGTCTCTGAAAAATTGACCTCAGAAATTCATTGTATATCTGAACTGCAACCAAGTGCTCTAAATATATTGATCTGTTCTCATTCATCAAATATTTCAGTTCACTTTAAAGTTATTGACATAATAAACAACTGATTTTTATTGAAGAAGTAAATTTTTAATTGATTAACTTTAGCTGGAATATTTTCTTTTATTGTCAGATTATATATTAGGAAAACTAAATTCTTTCCACTTTTCTTCCATCTTTTCATATGCAATAGGCAATGTGAATAGAAATTCTTTTCAGATAACAGAAATTCTTGAATTGAAACTATTTTTGCTAACATATAGCATAGTTCCAATTTATTGGTATTTAT